AAGTTACTGTGTTTATTTAGTGGAGTGAAGGAACAATCTGTAACAAACCATGACAGCTGAAGCATCTCATAACATCTGGATTTGTGGGATTTTGTTCTTTGGGGCTAAAGATCAGCATCAATTTTCATGCGAACAAAAACAGCAACGCAGTTACAAAGCGGGAATGCGAGCTAAGATATCGGTTAGAGGGGCCATCCTCTTCACAGAAGGTCACAAGTTGAATCCCCACAGCGGCCACTGTCTCAATCTGGAGGCATATAGACCGTCATGGAGACTGCCCATTATTCCGCAATCCCAATAATCTTACAAATATCCCATTGGACTAACAGCCTGTTATCCCAAACACAAAAGCCAACAGCTCCAAAGGCCAGTTTTTCCAAAAATACACTCTCTCTGGAGTTTTTACCCCTTAATATCTTATGCATGACAAAATCAGGTGACCTTTGTTGGGTGACCTCCATCATTGTGGTAACAACAGTCGGGTGACTTTCATAGTCATAGTCAGTTGACCATTGTTGTCATGGTAGCAATAATAAATGGGAGGTTGATGTGTAACTGTTGCAGTTTGGTCAATTTCAGGCATCAAAACTAAATTATTAGGCTTAGGAAAGGTTATGGTTTGGGTTGAAATAAGCATGTATTTGTCAGCTGCCACAAAAAACACTAGTGTGAAAATGTGGGTACTTTGGTCATCGCAACATGGTTTCGTCCATATTTAGAATATTCATCAACACTCTTTTATTGCCATTTCCCCAACTTTTAGCTGTGATCTCTGCTGCCTCAAACATTTACACTGTTCAATCTTCTCTGTCCTGCTGTTATTACAGACATGTCTGAACTCGCTGCCCCTGCACTCGCCTCCTTCGTCAAGCCCTGATATTTAATCCGCAATGATCTAGAGCTTGTGGGGAATGGTGGTCGTTAAAAGAAAGAAGTAAAGGGATATATGCAATAATATTCAATCAGTCTTTTTTTTTATTACGATCCTTACCTTAACAAATACAGTGTACCATACAACATATTACTGAATAAGGCTATGTTCCAGATTGGTTTTTAGTTTAGAAACCAACCAGTGCTTCTATCCTGGAATACTACCGGGACCCAGGTTTTCTTTATGTCAGTTAGTTTGCCAACTTCAATAAAACACAAAGGAAAATGCACAATGTAAGCACAATATGAACTAGATTTAGACGTAGAGACCCTTTATAAGACAAGGCGAAAATATTATGCAATAATGCAGGACCTAGTTGATATTTGGCACTTTTGTGTGACCGATTCCTGAACAGTCAGTTGCCCACTTTCCCTTTCTAAGCCTCCATAAGAGCATCTGCAAAATGTAAATGTGACCTGTTTTTTAATGTAATGATGCATCTGATGCACAGAGGTTTTCATTCACCTCTACATTGGTATTTCGACACTCGGAGATGGATATGTAAAGTGAAAAGCCTCAAATGATGCCTCACTGGATTTTCCACACAGCACAGACGATGACGTAATTTCACATACTGAAGGAACCCCCTCTACAAACTGGCTGACCGTTGAGGTGTCTAGCTCAGGGATTGGCTGGCAGACAACAAAGAGTGATGGGGATAAGGCACAGGATGATGTAAAAGAGTGCAACGACACAGAGAGGCAGTCTGAAACTGTAGCCATCCCCCTTTTTCAGAAAAGCTCAGTGTCAGTTTCCCCACCCTTCACTGAAGGAATATAGCTTTAGTCTGCAATGTTCACCCTTCGGTCTGTCAGTATAAAGTGCAAAGTGATGTGTATTAAATCAGCAGACTTACAGTTATTTCATAAAGGACAATGCATTTTCTGTAATGAAAACTGTATTTTTCCAAGTGAATAAATGACATGAAATGATATCTAGCTTGCGGCAGGGAAAAATAGACTGCAATTCAGTCTGTTGAATGTGTTTGTGTTTATAAAAGCCCTCTTCTCATTACTGTCTGATTATTGTCTGCATTGATTTTAAATTATCATTCATTGACCATTAATTAACAACTACAGTATTTTGGTGTTGCTCTGACATTTTGAATCCAGTCCGTTACATGCATGCCTCCTATGTATTATTGTCTTTCTTTTCTGCGTTAGGAGCAGCAGTCTGTGAGTTCATCCACCAACAATCTGCAGTTTGCTTCACCTTGACTTTGATATATCGTTTTGCTGGGTGGGTTGGCGGTATCCCAGACTTTGATAAGGCGATCTGGGACTTCCGCTGTGACAAGCCTATTCCTGTACAGGAAGAGTCAGGCTTTGCATTAATCGGGATCCGTGTCCGTCACTTTCCGCCCATCTCAACTTGATGCGAAGGAGTCTTCTTTAACATTCAGCACAAACCCACACATTTATGCACAGCTGTGCCTCCCAGTTGTTCTTGCATTTGTTATTGTGTCCTTTGTTAGGTGTTACAGTTTGGTGATTAAAATGATGAATTTAATTCCTCTATTTGGGTAACACGGCATATTCTATCACTGATTTTCTAGGGATGGCAATGTCAGGCTGAAATTTCTCACAGCTATTAGATGGATTGTCATCCATTTTTTTAACATTCAAGTCCCCCTCAGGATTAATTGTAATATCTTTGGTGATACCTAAACTTTTTTTAGATCAAGACTTTGATTTCAAGACTTTTTCAATAGTACATTGGTTTAAGACCAAATACCTGCAAAACTAATGATCGGTCCCAGCAACACCTTTTGTTTAGTGCTTATTAGCAAATGTTAACATAATATCACTCCCAATATAAGACAGTGAAGATGGTAAACACATGTGGTTAATGCCATGCACCCCAGTAGCTAAATGGTTAAGGGACACACCACCTAACTGTGTCATCCTTGGTTCAAATCTGCCCCTTCTCTATCTCGTTAGTATTATATCGAATTAGGACAGTTCTGTTAACAGCTGTCATGCTTTGCTAGCGGCATGGCTATATGGAGGGCAATGTTGGTCTGTTGATCAGCCGGTCTGTGCTACACTTTTGGACTGCAATGTCTCAACAACTAATTGTTGCCATCCTCTGACTTTCCCTCCACTGCCACCAGTAGGTTACAATGTTCACTTAATCAGTGAAATAACAACTATGAGATGGCTGTACGACACTTCCAGTGACAATCTGTTTAAGATCACTTTACCTTGATGTCAGACATTCCTTTCCGATGGGGACTTGAAGCCATTGTATCCTCTCTCCAAAGCCACTTCTTTGACATCAGTTTCCCGTTGGAAAAGAACGTTCTGATGCCAAGATAAAGTTAAAAAAAGAAAATATTCTAAATATAGTGTACAGTTACACCAACATTGATTTTCTTAGGTGTCTAAAATATTTTTTACTGCTGAGCAGTACATTTCTTAGCTTCCATGCTGGTACTCCTGTCTGCTTTTACAAACTATGCTGAGCATGCAGCATGGGGGTATGCTGAATGCCATCTACTGTAGGTACACTGACAACTTATGTCAATATATCAGTGTGCTGTATCGGATGTCTTTCTTGTGGTTATGTTGCTTTTTCTATGTATTTATGTAAGACTGTGCAGACTCTTAACGGTGGAGCTCATTTAGATGAGCCTGCAGATTGCTGGCTCCAGCCGTGGTGATCAATTTCTGATTAATATGAAAGCAGTGTCTGTATTTCTCTGTTAGCTCTCTTCTAAACTTGGGCCCTGCAGTTCAAGGCGTAGGCCAGTGGGAGAGATTATAAAGTGTGAAGAAAAAGGCAGACATTTGAGATGTTCTCTTTGTAGATCACAGGCTAGATTTGGCTTTTCTCTCCAATTAATTTGTAGAAGGTGATAAGTAGAGGCAAGAAATCGATACGGGCCTAAGCAACAGAGAAAAATGAAATGAGATTCACGAGAGGGACCCTTATCTGCGATCCGTTCTCACGCTTTTATTAACAACTATTCCCTAGAAATAAGGCGATTTAGAACCATTTTTTGCTTCATTCATTTATTCACAGATTGGAAAACAACCCTAAAATAACACTTTTTTATGGTTTGGTCCCTCAAGGCTCAATAGATTTGGATCAACAAAAGCAAAGTTGTTAAGAAAGCTCGTCTTTTTTTTTTCTTCGAGAAATTAAGCAGTTTACTAACAAGCAAGGAATACAGAAATACTTCTACTTTCAAAGAGATAAATCTCACAAAATCTCATCAGTTACAGCATCCTAGCATGATTCTTAAAAGTGGATTCCATAAAGTACAAAATCTCTAGTCATACCAATGTTTTGACTTCTGCCTTAAACAAATGAGCATCATCTATGATCATTTCGTACCGTTAAGTCTAAGAAAACATGAAGATTTGTACTAAAATGTTAACTCTCATGCAGACTTACACACAACTATGCATCAATGCATTTGACAGGCTACTGGTTAGTATACAAACACACAGTGTCCCCAGTTATACAGTATCTGTCTAAATCTAGTAAAGGACATTGATTTAGTCTAGCTCCTGTGGCTTTGTGCTTGTATACACAGCAAAGTTAAAATTTTGTACAAATGTACGGGTTTGAAATCAACCGTTATGGCCATTTTCTTTCAAATGTTGCGGTCGCTGTACTGTCGCTACCTCTACTGACTCAGCTCTGAGTTTCTGATCTGAGGGAAATGCGGCGGTCTCCCCCTCTCTCCAGACCTGTCAGAATAGAGAGTAATTACTATCATCAGGGACGCATCACTTCCATCACAATTGAGAGGGGGATTTTATTTCCTTTCTGCTGATTAGCACTGTCATAAAAAGAATGTCATTTGATTGCAGAAAATTGTGCCAGAGCACATAGTGTTTATTCATGGTGACATAATGGTTCAATGTATGTGTGTGTGTGTGTGTGAGAGAGAGAGGGGGGGGCTACGTAAAAGAGAGGAGAGAGCAAAAAAATAAAAAATCACTACCCTTCCTACTCCATATTTGAGTTTATCTCCTTTCATCTGAGCCATTGCTCTCCTAATGAGGAACGCGGCTCCTGCCTCAGAGTCCACTTAGCCACAAAAGAAGACTCCTGTCAGGAAGATCTAATCTGGGCAGGCTGGAAAGGAGCATCATCATCACACCCAAACAAAGAGAGGAGGATAATGTTTTTCTCCTGATTTGCTATTCAGTCCTTTCAATGTACTGCATCGTAGCAGCCTTAAAGAATGAGGAAAAGGGAGGTGTGACGAAAGGCCGGAATCCTTCCTTTGTTATAATTAATATTCAACAACCTCTTGTGCAGCGGCTCCCCTCGCTGCACGTAGGAAAGACGGAAAGCCCAACAGCACCTCTGAGAATACGATTTTATGAGTGAAATTGGGTTGCAATAAACCTACTGCCACCGCTCAGGATGTAAAAGCAGAGATCTGTGGGCAAGAAATTGATTTTCAAACATAATTCTGGCCATTACTTGCATTCTTTGCCCACAGGACGTAATCTGCTGATGGGGTTTTATCTGAATGGCAGTATCGCTTTGTTTTAGTCGCACAGAAGAAGCCAAATAAGTGAAAAAAATATAGCGGATTAACTACAAATAACATCTTTGTTCAGTCTGGTTTTGTAAGCCGACAGGAAGTGAAGTCCTCGCCCCCCCGGGAGGCATCTACTGCACTGCCAACTTTCTCAGGAGAAGAAGAGGAAGAGGAGGGGGAAATCATGAAAGTCAGATGTGAACTGATAAAGCCTGTTCTGAGAGCCCCATGCACAAGGAAGCATGCCTTTCCTATAAATTCAAGAAACACCGAACATCTGTGAGGACAGTCGTTTTGTCTAATGGCTTTACCGTAACTGCCCACCTCATGGCTGTAAACCGTGCACAAGACAAGAGATTGTTCTCCCTGTTAGGACATAGGTCATGTCAGCGATGGCCAGAGTACTGAGAGTCGTAGCTTATGGAGTTGTAAGTTACTGTCATATCTGTGACTGATAAAGAGCCATCATACCGGAGCGCTAGTGGCTGTCTAGTTTGCTAGTTTTGTCTGTTGCCGCAGAAACTGACGTCTTCAAACCTACCACGCTGTCAGTTTTCATTGTCATTTAAGCAATACAGATGTACAAAAATATTGGATTGGAGAAACAATCCACCAATCAGAGCTTTGTGGGCGGGATTCAAAAATGGGGACGTCATCTTCCTACATAGCTAGCTTTGGCTACATCCATGAAAAAACTGAAAAAATGGCCACAAAAATAGCCACAAGCAAGCAAGTAAGTCAGCTTATAGAAATAACAACTCTTATATCGAATATCGACATATTTCATCAATCAATGAGAAACGTTAACATAATATTTTTTAACTGCTGCAAGCAATCGCTAACACCGCTTCCATGTTGACTAAAAATGACGTTAGTGGGACAGACATGTCCTTCACTACCAAAGCGGAATAAAATCACTTTAATTTTATGTAAAAGAAACATATTTTTTCTTTCTAATTAGTTTGATCATTGCTCACTTCTCTTGGGACCCTCATAGGTTGGGAACTACTGATCTTAACAACCAGTGTCAACAACTGAAGTATGCTTAATATAGCTTTGATAGATCAATTATGCTATTCTAAATTAGTCTGTAGCTCATGAATAGCGATTATACTACTAATTTTCTACTAATGCATGGTCATGGGACTAGCAAAGTAACCTGTGTCCAGATTCAAGCTTTCAACTTGTCTAATAGCACCTGGTTTCACAGTGGATCAATGAGTACAGAGGCCATACTGGCCCTCAGCTTCACTTATTCATACTGGGGAGCAGAGACAAGAATGACAGCAGGAGAGATGGACACAGACTCACAGAAACACAAGGAAACAATTTTTACTAAAACTGTATGATTTTTGATATGTTAGCTCTGTCATTATTTTGAATTGTATCTTTTTTTCAACAGTGAACCGTTAAATGGCAACACTGAACAGCTTTGTTTCGTTTCAACAGGCGTGAAGAAAGACTGGCTGCCTTTCTAGGGGATCAACTGAATCTAAGATGAGTGTTTAATTATGGATTAATATGAAACACACTTTTCATTGTGTGTTGATGGGTATGATCACACCATTCAAGCTGTATAGAGAGAGACATTTAAAGTGAGGCAAGACAAATCAGACAGAAAGAAAAAAAGTGTGTGTCAGCAGGAGTGAGGTTGACGAGGAGGACGACTGGAGCCCTGCTACACTGGGCTGTGGTCCGGAGAAGCGTGTGTGGCTGTCACCGTCACACACTCAGTGGCTGTGTCCTTGATCCTGCGAAGGCCCATGTACAGCCTCTCATCCAGGTTAGCAGTCAGTTTGTCTGTGAGCTCTGCTGTGATGGTCTGCGGGCCGTAGCCCGAGGAGTCGGGCAGCTGAGGGGACGAGCGTTCGTCCGGGGGCTCGAGAGGGGGTCCAGATTGTTTGCTGTCCTCCTGAGGGTCATGGTGCTCACCCAGCCCTCCGTCTTTCTCAGAGATAGAAGGATGAAGTGTTGGTGGAGAAGAAGAGATGTGGTCCTCTGTGCCTCTGACAGTGACACCCTGCTCCCTGTCGTTGCCCCCATTACCAGTAGTGGTTTGCTCTACCTTTGGAGTGTCAGGGGTGCTACCGGTCCCCTCGCTGGTCTCCTCGTCAGGAGCACTGATGATACGGGGGAGCGTGCTGTGGTAGCTTGTGTCTAGTGGGTAGTTCACACTGTCACCCCTCCTTAGAGGGGTCCGGTGTCTGTCAAAAGAAGACTGCAAGTGTCTGACGCCGGGGTCGCTCCACTGTTTGTGCCGCTGCCACTGCTTGCGGAGGTGGATTCGGGACCGGTGCTTCCTTAGTGGCGACTCCTGCTGGTCAAACTGAGGGTCGTGGCGGAGAAACTCATGGAAGAGGGCGTCTGTCTTCTCATCTATGCTGTAGTCTCTCCGGTGCAGCGTTGGAGGTTGGGGTGAAGGCTGTGCAGCCTCTCGAGGTGTGAGCATCTGACCATATGGAAACCAACTCAGTGAGCCAGCACCTGTTTCTATGGAAACTCCTCCAATGGCACCCAACAGCTCATCTTCCCGCTCCTCCTCAAAGAGATGAGACTCAAAGCTCTCACCGATAGTGCCGGTTCGCCCTGCGTTGGTAAAGTGGTGCCTTTTCTCGTGGGCCGTTCTGTCTTTCGGGCTTCCGCTGATGCTCCCGAACAGTCGCAGGTCTTCTGGACCACGAGATGGAGCCTCTATCGATGCATAGCCGCTGTCCATCTGCAGCAATTTACGAGTCCCTGTCTCTCCGTCGCTGCCCCCTCGCTCTGATTCAGTGCTCTTTTGTTTTCTCTTTTTTCCCTCATTCCCACCCAACCTCTCATCCATATACATCGAAATGTCCTTGTCATCCTCTCCACCCTCTGCCTCATCTCCTAAATCCTGGGATGGATAGCTGGGAAGCCCTCCTCTTTCTGTTTCTGTGCGTCCGCCCAGTGAACAAACACTGTCAGCATCACTGCAGACAGAGTTCCTGTCATTGTTGCTGCTCTGGTCAGAGGCTGCATACTGTTCCAGTGTCGCGCGCAGGGACCAGATGTCTTTGTAAAGTGACTGGGGGTCCTGGTGATCTAGGGGGTCCAAAGGGTCTGCACCATCCCGTCTTGCCAGGGACAGTGCTTCGTCTTGGGGATCAGGGGATAGGCCAATCACCCCTGGTCCTCCATGGCGGCAGCTGGGCTCCACCATCACCTCTACCTCTACCCTGTAGTGTACACACAGGTGTGGAGAGATGAGATAAAATGAAAGAAAGGAGAAGAGGAAGGGAAGAAACACACAGACATGCGAAACAAGCGTTAGTGTCAGAGAATTTACCTAAATCACACATTCATCTGAGACATGGCTGTGTTCACAGTGCACAGAATGATTTGCAATGGCTGCTGTTGCATGTCCTTAAACTGAACTTAGCTGAATACTGATGCCACGTTTGCTCAAAAACTCCAGTCTCCTGCTTTTATCTCGGGACAGCAGGTTTAAAGAATCCATACTGTATGAAACACAACTTGGGTTTTATCAGTAACAATAAACTGTAAAGGAGCACAGGGATCATCAAATGTCTTAACTCACGGCAGCTTCCAGGAAATTCCTTTTATTTTCAACAACAAACATCTGCAAACATACACAGGAAATACTGTTTAATTTAATATTCAGTGAAGGAAAATAAATGTTTATATAAGAGAATACTTTGGGAGATTGGTTATTATTGTTGCATAACCTAATATTGGGCAAAATCTGCATTGCTATAATTGCAAACTTAAAATAACAAAAGTGCAGTGACCCCTGCACTTCTGCGGACATCATGACATTATCAGACCATGTCAGCGATGGAATGGTTTCCTATGCCAGATATAAACCCTCCTTCCCGATTCTCCACACCACTCTTTAAAAAAAAAAAAGTGCACTCTGGGAATCCCCTACATCTGGCTTCAAATCGTGAAATTGGTTTTGAAAGAACTCTTGTTTATAACTCTATAAATCAGTGTGGTTAGGGAGTATTTACAGTGACACAGCATGGTGTGTTTTAATCTAATTAGATGGCATAGCAAAACAATTAGTCTAAAAAAAGACAAGAAGACAGTTTATATAATGTCCTATATTTTTCAATGAATTACAGTCAAATTTTCTTGGCTATGACTTTTCTTTTTAGATTGTCCTGTATCCCATTTTTTATGCAATGGTGGTTTCACACTGTTTATAAAAGCATACATTTATGTTAGGGCAAAGTGGTGAAGAATTGGGACTTAGAGCCATATCCTACTGTATATCATTACCATACTCTAGCTACAGTAAAGAAATGAGTGCAAGGCAGCAAAGCAGTGGACGGGATGAATGGCAAGGGAATTAAAGATACCTGCCGAGGGAGGGGGGTGGTGTGGAAGGAGGAGAGAGGAGGCGTGCGGTGGGCTGGCTGGGACAGTAGGTGACGTTCTGGGTGCGGGCGATGTACTGGATGAGGTCTATGTGGTGCGCGTCGTTGTCGTCCTGGTCCATGCTCTCGCTGGCGGCCCGCTGCCGCTGGAACTGTCTCCTCTTTGGAGAGCCTGGTGAGTGATGCCGAACATGGGGAAAGAGCAGTGAGTTGTACAAGTTGCGCAAAGTGCGGGCGGGAGTGAAGTGACACATAATTCAGGATAAGCTTCCATCAACTGTTGAGGTTTCTGATGGGATTTTGTGATCTTTTTCTGCTCCCTTGCTATGATATAAGGACTGAGCCTGGGATCGGGGGATCGGCAGGGAGGATTTACTCAGGGGCTCAAATTGACTTGGAACGACCAATCTCTACGTCATTGAGCCATCTGTCTTGTACGTGTGTGTGTCTGTGTATATATCCGACTCTTAGCAGGCACAGGCGTATCACAGTTGGCTGCTGGAGCCCCCTGCTTAACCGTTGTCTGTTTACCACCAGAGAATATTGCCAAAAATACGAGATACACAAATAAATAGAAAAAGTACACCTAAGAAAGAAACCGCCAACAGTATGTAATGTATAACTTTATTTTCTCAGATTTCTACAAAGAACCACAAAAAAAGTGTTGCACTTCCCTGCTGCATTAGCACAGATCGTTTCTAAAAACAATATAATAGAAATGTACTTTACACCATCAAGGATCCATTACCTCTGGTGTCCAGACTCGAGGCTCTCTGGCTGCTGTCCAGCTTCCATTTCTTGATCTTGAAGTAGGGACTGGCCCCCTCCAGACTAGCATGGCGCCGCAGTTTAGTGAAGAACTGCAGCATGGGCCCCTGGCTTCCTGCGCCGCCGGCAGAAGGGGAACCGCTCCCCACCACGACCCCTTCTCCAACACTGACACTGCTGCCTCTGCCCTGGGGCCCCGCTCCTATCATCTCGATCTGAGCAGAGAGAGAAACACGGGTCAGAAAGAAAACCTGACAAGACTAGTGGTAGTGGTGTGTGCATAATCCCTTCTGACAATGATGTTCCACACGGACTTCCTTGTTTACCCATCAGCCATCACTCTTGTTGGTCCTCCCTCAGGCTCTATGACCCTCTCATGTCAGGACAGATGACTCACCGGTTGACTGGCTGGCTGGTTGGTGTACTGAGAGACTATCTTAAGAAAACCCATCACTCTACAAATAATTAACTCAACAAACCTGAGCTCTTACAAGTCATTTGTATGCGCTCTCAGTACCTGTGAGATATTTGCACTTGTGTTTTTTTAATGTGCGGTTTTTCAGCAAGAAAATCACAAGCAAATGACAGTGTGACATGTCAAATTTAGGAATTTCTTCATCATAATTACTGTGACTAATAGTCATCGTCCGGTGTTGAATATTGTATATTTTACAGTAGCTGGAGGTAACTTACAGAGCTTGGCTCTTTAGTGCTGAGAGCAATAGTGTTCTCACTGAAGCTGGTGTCCACCACAGAGTTGAGAGTGTCTCCAGGGAGGGCACAGCTAGGATTGACACTCAGGCTGGTCAATGCTGTTTGTGGTAGGGGGCACAGCATCGGCTGAAGGGAAACATACATGAAAAATTACACTTTTATCCTTCCTGAATCAATTGTTGAACATGTCTGTTCTCTTTTGATTAATCCAGTTATTCAGAGTTGCACAACTACAGTAAGTAACGCAGGTCAACTTCCAAAGTTTGTTTTCATGTTTAGGTATTATCTCTGAATGAAAATCAAGTCCACATTCCCTCTCCAACTGTCAGCCCAGCATTGTGATTGTATAGCCTCACCTAAATGGGAAATCAATGCGCACAGCCTGTTGCAATGAGCAGGCAGAGAGCTCCCCGATTCCTGTGTTTGGGGACATTAGGTTGATTTTCTTGCCCTGACCCAAGTAATTGATGTTCTAATTGGCCCCAGTCAAGGCTAATGATGCATCAAGAGTAATAACAGGTTAAAGGCTGTCACCTGGAAGATGGAAAGTGCTGACTTAGTGACAGGGCGTGTTGTCATGGTGATGCTGTTCTCGGCCGAGTCGCACTCGTGGATGGTGACTATCTTGAGTGCCGGAGGAGGGATGTGGAGGTGTGTGAGCCGGGCGTTCTTCAGGTGGTGAAAGTCGCCCTCGGTCAGAGTGTACCTGGGGAAAACAACATGCAGTTCAATAATAAGCCATTAAATCCTTGCAAGATGGAACGTGACTGGTAAGTTATAAATCATAATGCTTATCCAGGCACAAGAGACAAACAGCCATGGGAAATATCTGACTTCAAACCCATCAGAGTCTACTCTGGATTCTGCATTTAGCCCCACAGAATAATTCTTTTGATGGATTTGCATATTAGGCTCAGGGCTTTAAGAGAAAAGTAGGGCAGGGAAGTAAGAAAGGGTGAGGCTCTTTGTGTCCACAGCAAACATAATGCATTCTGAATCAATGCTTTAGCCGAAACTAAGATACAAGGGAGATGGACACAGTAAAATATATACATCCTTTGATGTTAGAAAGGAGCAAAGCCCCCCCCTTTACGAACAGAGGTTTGCAAATGTGCGCTTGTGTGTATGGGTTGCCTTTCTGACCTGCGCCCCTTCTCCTGGGCCTTCTTGCCGTGATCGAAGAGTGCAGCCTCATTGAAGGAGACACGGCGGCCGGTGATGCCCGTGGAGAGGAAGCGCTCAGTCTCTTGGTCGTGAGAGCTGGCCATTGACAGGCACTCTGACTCATCCACCCTGATGGTGATTTCTGGAGATGCAAAAGGAAGGAGACAGAGGAGGCAGACAGATAGGTAGAGCGAAAGACAGAAAATTATATAGATAGAATTTTTTTTTTGTTTCATTGTAACTCCTGACAATAGTGTAATGTTGGTCTATTGGGCCGGACTAAAATATGTCAACAACATTCATGGTCCCCAGAAGATGAGGCCTACTGTGATGATCTTCTGACTCATCATTAAGTAAATATCTCAACATCTAAATAATGGATTGGCTAAGATGTTAATTTGTCAATTACTTTGGTTTGTAACCAAATATTCACATTCCGTGCGATTTAGCTAAATTTAGCATCTTAACACTCTAAACTGAGGTGGTGGACATACTTGCTCAACATTAGTATGTTAGCATCATCACTGTGAGCATGTTAGCATACTGACATTAGCTATAAAGTCTTGTTTTCTCACATTTTGTGTCTGCCCTTTGGTAACGTAACAGGTGATGTTTCATCCAATAAATTATTGGATTACTATAGCTCTGTTGTTAGTGTGGGAGTCCTGGTGGCCCAGGGGTTCATGGCACCAACAGTTCAGGTCTACCCTAGGACCTTAGCTGCATCTCTACCCATTCATCTGCTGATATCCTTCTACTGTCAGCTATGTAATGATGGCATAAAATACTCCCACAATGATTTCAGTCAACCCATTTCTGCTATACTGTATATTTCACTGACTGGATAACTGAAGTGAAGCATCTCATGTTCAGACCAAAAACTGCTGACTCAAAAACTAAACAAAAAAGCCTTACAAAAGCAGCTTGGTGCCTAACTGATGCTTCCTTTAATAAATCATTTTCATTGGAGATAGAGTGCATCCACTGGTCCCAAAATGTCAAAATGTGTTCCAGGAATGGCACAGCTACTTAAACTAATTGGGTCGAGATCACAATATTTTAATGGAATAGACATTACACGTTTGTGCTGACGCGATAAAAATATCCCTGCTTCCATCAACCCAATCCCTCCATCCCCCAGCCTGCCTGTCTCCATTACTCCTCCCTCTCTCACTTACTTACTTGCCTCTTTTATCTGTTCCCTTATCCCTCCCTCCTTACATTTCCTCCTCTTTGTCTATTTTTCTCTTACCATGGGTGGGTTGAGCCTTCTCCACGTAGGTGGTGTTGGTTTTCTCAGGGTCATCGCTGGCCCTGGGGCACACAGAAACATTCAGATCAATGCTGTGACATGATTACCCCTGAAGTCTGTCTTTCATCTGTCAAACCCTACTGATGTGGGCATCCACATGGGCGACCACAGCACAAGGCTTCATGATCAGCTGTGGTACTATTTGACCTTTCTGTTCAGAGTGAGTTTAAATACACACACAGATGTAAAAATCCAGCTATAGGACAACTGTAAGAACCATAGGACTGAATGTTCACTAGGATGTTTGTTTAAATGGCTGTCTGCCTGGCTGTATAATCAATGAGGGCCTAAATCATTGCCAGTAACTTGATAACCTTTAGGGCCAGGGGACCTCTTGAACTGATAAAGCATGGTGCTTTATTGGATTGCACGTTTCCACTCATCTTTAAGGGCACAGAGAAAATACACAATAAAGGTCATATTGTTTGTTCTCTTGGTATATTTTGTCTTTAAACCTTCCCATTTCAACATCCTTAACTGGTGCTGATCCTCCAGCTAAGCTTCTTTAATCCCATGGCCAAAATGTACTTTATGAGGCAGAAAAGAGAAACTGAAAGCTCTTCCCTGTCATTTCTCTCCGTGTGATTTCTTTGTGCACAGCTGCATTCCCTGTGTGTGTTTGTGTGTGAGTGTGAAGCGACTTGAGGGATTTCTCCGTCCACCCCGATCTGTGCTTCTTCTTGTCTTTCATTTCCTCTGTGGCTCCCGCTTCCCAATACTGAGTGTGGTTGTGTGCGTGTTCTCTGTGTGCACAGGGGGCTGGGTTGAGACGCGAGATTAATCACAGCCGATGGCTGCTATGAAATCTCATTACACTCATCATTTGTACCAGTCTGCCCAATTCTCCTCTGCTCTCCCCCGGCAAGCCTCTCCTTTTCATGGCTCAGCCTCTGTGCCCTCTGTTTATCTGCATCTAGTCGTTGTGCTCTCATATATTCAAGTGTACTTGATGATGCGTGCTGCTGTAGAGAGGGACAAAGTGTCCCGAGGGTAGCCATGTTACTTCTGAATAAGCACAGATGAATCACGTTTGTTAATGGAATCATTCTCACTGGGTGGAGAAAACTGGACGATTCCACGGGAAGTAGTTAGCTTCATTTGTAACTGCGATGAGCTTTATCTATTATGTAAGTGTATACACATTCAACAGCCTGTCACTAAATAGTAGTTGCATGTGAGCTCAGGAAGAGTAGTCTCCGTCTGTCAACAGATTGTGTGTACTCGTGTGTGCAGACGTGTGCTTTCGTGCAACACAGTAAAAGGACCACCTGTACCTAGATCTGCAGACTAAACGAAACCTTTGTGAAGCAAAGAGTCTTCAGTTTTTGTTGAACCTGCGTAGGAGTGGTGTTGATTTAAGGATGTAAAGTTTGGTGTTATTGTGTTGGACTGCATCAGAGGAGGTTTTGAGGGATTATATAACAGGGACACCAGGCTAAAATTTTATGTATTATAATGAAAACCAATACAACACGGGGCGCATTCTGTCACCAGAGAGTTAACTGAACAACTCTGTGGCACAGTGTCAACAAAAAGTGAACATCATAAAGTTATCATTTATTACAGTTCTTATTAAATTGTGCAGCTGCTGCTTTTATTAAGACGTCTTATATTGGGTCCATACTGTTGGTTCCTTACAGTGTTCTGGAGTTCAATCTTATACTGCTAAACAGTGGATGAGGGTGTTGAACTGCCACATGTAATGCGTAAATTTGCATCGAACCTGGCACAGAGTTTCCCTCCTCGACAGCCGCGGCGGCAAACAATGAGGAAGACAGAGACGAAGATCAGCGTTCCTACCAGGAAGATGGAGAGGATCACCAGGAGGAGCACATAGCCATCTTGCTGCTCCTCGGCCACGAATGGGATCTCCTGAGGATGGATGGATGGATGGATGGATGGATGGATGGATGGATGGATGGATGGATGGATGGATGGATGGATGGATGGATGGATGGATGGATGGATGGATGGATAGATAGATAGATAGATAGATAGATAGATAGATAGATACTACTTTAGTCTTGCCACTTAGCCCTTTTATGAAATACAATCAGTTGTATTTCAGTTCAGATCCACAAGTCACAGTTTTGTAAGAAGATACAGAGACGTACCATCAGTATGTCATTCATGTAAGCAGATAAATGACACATGAACTGCCTAACAGCCTAGATTTGACTACCTTGACAACCTCTGACTACCTTACTGTGCAGCTGTTTTACTTTTCCAGTAACACCATGCAGCTTAAAAAAATTGATTTAGCCCCACTGGCTGGTTGGCCTGAATCTATAAATGCAACAGTACAATTAATCAATAAATACCAGGGCTATTAACCTGTCTACAGTGTACCTTAGCTATGGGAAAGCTCTCAAAGGCAGGACTGCAGCTGGGATAATGAACCACACAAGGAGCACTGGTACAGACCCCATAAACAACAATACTCAGTTAGTTTTGTTAGGATAAAAGTTTGTCCATAAGCTTGCACGAAAAGCAGATTGAAAGCTACTACTGACAATAAACTTGTAAAATAAACTGTATGTCTTTTGCTGCAAAAGTATGATCTGCTACTTCACAAATAAATATTGCTGTCTGTCTGTACATAGCATTCATCGCAACACTTGCATTAATTTGAGTCCACATTTAGTCCTTTAGTTTTCTGTAATCACCTGAAAATAAGAACTGTTGTGTTTTTGTGACCTTAGAATAAGCTGATTTTATCTACAGAGGGAGCGGGTCCTCTTTTGCGGAGTCCGCCACGTTGAACTACCATGTTTCTACAGTAGCCCAGAATGGACAGACAAAACACTGGCCCTGGATAAATAAATAAAATGGTCAAATAAATTCAGAATATAATACATGAATAATTATATATATGTATTTCAGTTTCTTCTGCTTCTCAGTAATTATTTCATGCTTTTATAAACACATCTATTCTATCTCAACTGTATAAATAATTTTTTTTTACATTAGTTTATTATCAAATTGCCAATTCTTATAGATTTATTTCTTTATTTCCTTTACTTTGTCATTTTTTCCATCAAAAATAAGTTGAATTTAGCTTGTTTATCTAATTTTTCCCCAGTAAGTACCCAAGTAGGCTACAGAAGACAGATTGAAATGGTATAAATAAAAATGACAGTTAGCAAACACGAGTGGAAAACTAAAGAACTACAGCAGGCAGCAACACTGCAGTTACACAGACTTTCGATACATCACAAAGACGATCTTATAGGTGGAGTGTCATGCTGACCTCCACCCTGGGGAAATGAGAGCGCACAGCAAGTGTTAACGAGCGCTATACTTTGACGTCACATTGTAATTTCTCTGCGAGGGGAAATTAAAGCTGAGATTAGATCAGAGATTTAATTATTTCAGGTCCAGGTCAGGATGTTCTCTATTAGCCAGTCAATCGGCCAGAAGAGAATATGAGGAAAAGTAGGGTTCTGGTGGACACGCGCGCGCACACACACACACACACACACACACACACACACACACACACACACACACACACACACACACACACACACACACACACACACACACACACACACACACACACACAGGAAGTTTGAGAATAAGCCAGTGGCGAAAGGCAGGCTTACTGTGGAGTTTTCTGGTAGGATGGTCCAGACGGTAGACTCATTGCTCATGGTCCAGGCAAACTAGAGAGTCCCCCTGAGAGATAACACATGAGCACACACACACAGAGGAAATGACTGTCACTGATGCTGTTCATCCAAACACAAGGAGAGCGTTTACATGCACACAAGAACGCTGGTTTTCAGTCTTATCCTGTTTTCATTTTCAGGATAAGGCATTTACATGGAACCTGGTTATTCATATCTCTGTATACACGATCATGACAGTATCCAGCTTTCTGATTGTCTGTTGCAAGTGTGTCTTGATTTTTCACCATCTTGGCCACTATGTTCTGTACCAGCAATGAAAGTTCAGAAACCTGGACGGGGTGTTTACACGCCACAGTATCCCGGTTTTAACTGGAGTACTCCAGGTAGCATTTCCAATGTTTGTTTCTGAAACAAGAATAAGCTGTTTACATGGGCGAATTATAGCCAGGATACTCCAAAAACCCGATCATAACCAGGATATTAGTAGGCAAGCAAACACACTCAAAGTCATCCACCAAAGATGCTGCATTTTATCTGTGTTATTAACTCCAGACGCACTGTGCAAGTGAACAGAAGCAAAACTTCTGTAGAGTAACGAGTGGTTTTGCAGTCACTTATTGATGACTGAGGTCTAATAACATAGCAAGAAAACATTTATATCGCACTGTTTAATGAGATAGAAGATGCCCGTTGCAACAGAAAGACCTTGTTGCATCTCTAAAGACTGCGAGACGAAGCAGAAACCAAATGTGCGTGTGCGTGTGTGTGTGTTTGTGTGTGTGTGTGTGTGTGTGTAAAGCATGTGCTGGTACGTATGCCTCCAATCCCACAGAAGATGCAAATGCTAGCATCTCGACTGCAAATCATCATCCATAATTCCATATCAGCCTGAAGACTCTCCATCTACCTCCCACACAGAAAAGAGAGAAAGAGAGAGCTCTTACTTAAACACTGGCTCCAGCAGCTGAGTTCCACTACCGCTGCTGCTATGCGTTTGCTCTTACAGATGATAGCCATTAATACTGCTACTGCTGCACCAAACGCCCACACACACACACACACACACACACACACACACACACACACACACACACACACACACACACACACACACACACCCTGGACTGATCTACTCACCAAACAGGGTAGAAGCAACATGCCAGCAGCACTCAGTACTCCTTGCTCGCCTGCCAGTCACTGCAGCACTCAACTTCGGCACCACAACCTGTAAGCTACTGCTGAGCTCTTTGCTGCCAGCCTGTCTAACTCCCTGCATCTACCATCCAAGCATGAAAACTGTTACGGGAAACACACATCAGGCGGTGACCACAATGCTTTCCTTTGCAGTACTGTACCACATCCTGCTTTCTACCATCCCAGTGTCTTACCCTGATGGAGGGCAGTGCGCAGCAGCAGCTCTGGATGTGAGAGTGCGTGTGTGTGTGTGTGTGTGTGTGTGTGTGTGTGTGTGTGTGTGTGTCGGGCTGTTGCTCAGGAGTCTCCTCCTCAGCTCCCTTGCTGCATCCTGAGCTACCTCAGCCCACCCAGCCGACTGAGCCTGAGCAGCAGTGATTCCCCTCAGGGCTGGCCCACTGGCCTCGGAGCAACGGGACGGCGGTGCTGCATGGCTGAAAAGAAAAAAAAACAAACATACAAAAGAAGGACTTATTAATTATTCAGTTTGTGTACATAAGTTAGACATCACATGAGCATTTAACAAATGCACATCAAAGCGTGCTGACAGGATTCCCTTTGCAGCCCCTGTTTGTGGTGATGATGAGAGAAAGCTCTAACAACAGTAAGCAAGCTAAAAGATATGTATTTATTAAATGCAGTAATACAGTTTATTAACAGATAACAGGTAGTATAACTACACTTGTCTGCTTTCCCTCTGCTGTTAGGCTTTAGGAAATATAAGGACAAATAAACCTATTATAATAAAAGTAAGCTATGCAGTCAGTCTAGCTTTGTACTTTATTGAGAATTGCTTACTTCTATGGTGTTGCAAACCCTGATGATTGCTCTATTGATTGGTTGACTGAGCAGATGGTAAGACACGGGTGTCCCGCCATGCTTAACAAAATTTCGGTCTACACCAGCGACATTCCCTCTTATTATACAGTGAATCCTTTTCCTCTGGAGTAGCCTTTTATATTTCGTGCCATAACTACCACAACCCCCCCCCAACCCCAGAACAAATTATTACTGTGATGGTTGTAATTTGAGACCGTGTTTAAAATTAGAAACTGAAAGCATCCCGTTTCTTATTGCTCGCTACCGCAATATTATTTCCCCGGAACCAAATGAATGAGCTCCGATCGTCTCTGGCAGCTGTTTCCTTACGGAGCATCAGCTGATAAAATCTTTAGCAAGGAAACAAAAAAACAAAACAAAAATCACATCACATTACGTGACGAAATGCAGCCGATAGTAAACTTTAAAGATGGATGAGAAGCAGGGACACCCCGAGCAGCGCAGAGAGGTTAATAAATATGCCATCTTGATATCTCACAGGCGGCCGTGGGTTTCTTTTTTTTTTTTATCAGTCCGGTGACACCGACAGAGAAGGTATAACGTTAGCTCACGATTTGAATTGGCTGCACAGACAACAAGACGAGCGGGGCACGAGCGACGGTAGCACTCACCTACTCAACCAGCCTGGTCCACGGAGGGGTGGAGGGGCAAAGCCAATACCGCGAAACTATCTTCTGTGGACACTTTAATGTGGATTTTAAAGCTAAAAGTATTTATGAATGAAACCCCACTGTTTAAGACACGCCCACCACCCAGTCAGAGGCGCACCACGTGACGCAAAGAGTGAGGTAAAGCTGAGTGATTGAAGGGTTTCTTTAAATTAGCCTGATGCTCTTCACAGACTTACACAGACAGTGTGTCGGTGAATGTTTGCACCTGTGAGCCATTTGTTTTGTTCTTTTTACTTCTTTTACTGATTTATTTTACATTAGTTAGATCACTAGTCACTAGCAACAGGTGTGGGGTGTTGAAGCAGCGCAGCTTCAGAAGTGTGTGTGTGTGTGTGTGTGTGTGTGTGTGTGTGTGTGTATGTATATATATATATGTGTGTGTGGGGGTGGGTGGGGTGGGGGGGGTCTTAGCGCCATACAAGTGGCATACATAAGCGCTACAAAAACTTGGTCCCAAGCCAGACAAGTGGAGTCCCATCTATTGTGGCCTATGTAGCATACAGCAAATGGTTTTGGCGCCATCTACTGGCGGCGTATGCTCAGTAGAGCAGTAGGTAATGTGGGGAATTAACGTTTTGCCAAATGGGCTACTCTTCCCTAAATATTTCCCTGTGTAAACCACTATTAATGTCTAGCTAGTAGCTGAAACAACGTTTCAGTGGATACACATTATAATACTTACTGATGTCGCTAACAAGATGAATACATGACAAATGAAGTCACAACCAAACCACAATTATCAGCCTTGACTGCGTCTGTCTGTCTCTTTTTTTTTTTTCAAAAGACTACACTACCCTGCATCCTTTGCACCGCCGTAAAGCCTTATGGGTAGGTTACCAACGTCCTTGTCCTACCAAGCGCACACTGACTGCCTTCACGCAAGGGCTCGAGGATCTCTGTCATTCACTTGTACTTGAATAAAATCGGATTTTCAGACATGATGGCAGCCAGATTTCTCCGCCGGGCTCTCCCGGTGCTCAGGCAAACTCGCTCCTACGCCGAGGCCGCCACCAGTGGCCCGCAGATGTCCTTCACTTTCGCCTCCCCGACACAGGTAGCTAGATGACGTTAACGCTATTGGAGGGCTTCTCGGGCCCAGCTAACTTAGCTGTTCGGCTAACTTCATTTCTTGTTTAAATGCAGAAGGGTCTGCCTCCGGGGGCCATTGAGCAATTGTGTACTAATGCATGGGTTTGATATCATTGCGACACATGACATTGTGGTTAAAGCACGCATGCAGTTCAGTTATACCGTTGCACTGTCAGTATGTAGCCTAGCTGGCTAACGGTGGCCAACATTCACTGTCTTTGACCAGCAGTGTGCCAAAGCAGCAACACGGGAGCTCTTAAGTGTTGCTCTTTCCCAGTTCATTAACTTTAAAGTAAAATGTATGAGCTTGTGTTTTTAAACGTGTGTTTAGATGTAGAAGTTTAAATGAATTTAGCTCAGCAAGAGTGTGTTATATGCAGAGCTCTCTAACCTTGAGGTTTATGTCAGTGGGTAGATCTCGTCCTACAAACGTATTGTTTCCTAAATTCAGTCCACTGGTCCTCCAGATATTAGAGTCTAGCTCCACTCAGTGCTGCATGTCTACCTCACATTGTGCTGCAGAACTGATGTATGTAATCCAACCATAAACAAATATAGATTAGCACTAAAAACCTATGCATTATGTTGCATAAAAAACATTTAACATAACGTTACATGTGTTAGACCATAATGTACTGGCTATTAATAGCACACAGTTGAATTCCAGATGATACAGTTCTGCAGCTGCATCTTTGTTCAGTCATCACCATTTGTTGATGTTTAACTGTTGCAGGACAATCCATAAGTCAGTGAATGTATCTCGCCACCTCCTGTCTCCACCCTCTAGGTGTTTTTCAACGGGGCCAGTGTGAAACAGGTCGACGTGCCCACACTTACTGGTGCGTTCGGTATCCTCCCTGCCCACGTACCCACCTTGCAGGTGCTCAGGCCCGGCGTTGTCACAGTCTTCGGTGATGACGGTTCCACTATCAAATACTTTGGTAAGCTGTGTTTGACCTTGGGTCAGGCCTATGACACATAAGGGCCTCCACATCATTTTCCTGTTGCTCATATAAATGATGAATTCCTAAGTGTATGCTTTGTTGTGTGTTTTCTTTTTACCCAATGTGCCTGTCAGTTCAAAGCATTCAAATATTAATATCTGCTCTGACTAGTCATTTAAGAGATTAATGATCTCAGTTTAAAGTCTGGGGACACTGGTGTACATCTTGTGTATAAAACAAGACTAGGACAGCACTGCCATTAAACTTTATAACATTGCCACATGGACGTTTTGGACCCCCTTCTTCAGCGTTTCTTCTGGCAGTGCCTCTTGTGCACCTATTTTTCTCCGCCCTTTTTAGGTTAACATTGTTGACATGATACGTGCGTTTTTCTATTGAAATGCTGAGTTAAGTTATTTGCAGTTGATTTTGCTAGGAGGTATCTATGTTGTCCACCTGGATTTCACAGCGTGTATCTCTGTTTCAGACTGAGCTCTGCTTAGGCAATACTAACAAAATAATATGTATCTTTGTTAAAGTATTAACAGATTCAATAGTATGAGCCTACTAAGCTTAGAATGTAGCTGAATACCCAGGTGTCATGTTTCAGCTATTTATACAAATGAATGAAACCCTTGACGAGAAAATACATTGTGGAACAGCAAGCCCTAGAGTGAAGCAGAAGGTCCTGGCTTTATGCTCAGGGTGTCTGCAGGGTCATTAAAAAAAAGTCTATAATCCAATCCAATCAAGGTCTTAAATTGCATTTATAATGGTCTAAAAAAGATGTAACCTTTTGAAACCTGCAGAAACTCTGTATAATGCACATTGCACTGGTGAGGATGACTGAATGTTTGCATGTTTAGTAACACTGGTGTGTGTGTGTGTGTGTGTGTGTGTGTGTGTGTGTGTCCGCAGTGAGCAGTGGGTCAGTAACAGTCAACGCTGATTCTTCAGTGCAGCTTCTGGCTGAGGAGGCTTTTCCTTTGGACCAGCTGGACGTCGCTGTGAGTATAATGTCAACCTTACTTCATTCACATAGATCCTAGATACTCATTTTGGGCAGTATGACCCTTATATATGATGAGAGAATAGAAGTGTATTTTACAAAACAATTTACACTAACACAGTTATCATCCATTAGATATGTGCATTAAACGTGGGCGGGCAATGTTGCAAACAATTACATGCCGCACTATGTACAAAAAAATCGCAGTGAAAGAACCAAAAACAACACCTTTTTGACACAGCGTCAACAGACTGAACATAAGTTTCACAAAAGTGTTATTTAATTCAGAGGTAATTGATTGGATTGTGTTATATTATACAGGTGATCTTGTAATTGCCTTCAATGACCCTCTATTTCCTTTAGTGATTTGAACTATTACTGGTATTGATCACCTTATTATAAGCTGTGCAATGAGTGATGATGATCTGATACAAGATATTTTTAATGAGGAACCTTTTTGAAATGCTGAGATCAATATTTGTGGCATTTAATTAGTAGGAGCACAGCCTTTGAACTTGAGGACTGAGATTCAAAGTATCAAAACACAAACGAGTCATGTAAAGTTATTGATACCATTAAGGACATTTTATGAATTGTCTATTCCAGCTTTAAGCAATGTTATCAGTACAATACCAGTTGTTGTTGCCTTTGGTCCATTGCATTTAAATGTTTAGAGCTTTGATAAGTTATGTTCAGGGGCTGGTTGTTCTTTCTACATTTGTTTTATTAAAAAAAAACTAGAACAAAGCTGCACTCAGGTTCTTCAAAACCAGCAGGGGCCTAGCAGCAATTCTCCTTACACCTGAGGTGTCCTTGAGGGTTTCTAATCCTGAGCAGCTCTGTTGTTGTCCAGTTGGCTCTGAACTTTGAAGTGGGCAAACAGTAACCTGAATTTGTCCTTTTCATATGATTTATAATGGTGTGTGTGTGTGCTTATATTACATTTACACCCGAAGGGTTCAGTCTTCGTCCTTATCAGTTGTAAATGTGCGTATCTTCCCTTCAGTGTACATTTGAAGTAAGTTTTTATCTCAAACTGTACAGAGAAGTTTTGAAACATCCCCTTTTTGTTTAATCACACTTCACACATGTGTTTTTGTTGACGTTTCTAAAATGAGACTTCTGCATTTCCACATGTGGAACATTATAAATGAATCATTGGTGGTGCTGTACCACTCAGCGTTGAGAAATGTTCTCTTCACAATGTCGGTCTAGATCGTGTCAATCACCCTTTATGGATCTTTTATGTTTTAATGAGATTTCTGTGATGAGTGTTCGTATCCAGTTTGTTGAGGCGTGCGTAATTACTGATTGTTCACCATGGTTTGTGTCCCAGCAGGGACATGATCTTTGACAGCGGAAACTATTCTTTGAACTTGATTTTTTTTTTTTCCCTTCCCTCCCTCATTTTGATCCTCTGTGCTGATGAGCACCTCCCAGCTGATGATTACCCATCTGATCAGTGTTGCAGTAGGACTTGAATGTTGAGTCCTTGTTTAAATGTCAGTCTTGTTAATGCTAGGCTGTGTTATTACGCGCTCGCCCCGCGGAGGTGTTTGTGTTTGACCTTGGGTAGTGCCAGTGTCACTGTCAAGTTGACTTCATAGCAGTAAATGAGTTATTTTTTCCTCGTTGTCCTCCACTCTGCAGTGAAAATGCACATGGGCCCACACTGTTAATAAGGAGGGAAAGGTCACTCACTGTTGAGTTATAGCAGATGTGTCAAATCCCTACTGGGAGACCTTTAACTTCCAGCTATGTTTGGCATTTCTCGTTTCTAATCACTACTGTGACAAATGGAGCTTTCAGAGCAAAGAGGCAGTGGGGATTTTCTCTGCTCGTCTTACTCCCCTTACTTTGACTCGTTGCTCAGCCTTGCTATTCAGACTTACTTACATCAGTTAACCTCTAAAGGTTCTCAGGACAAGTCTTGGTCCTATGATTTTCCTGCTATTAAAATAGGTACCGGATGATGACGATGTGTTTAAGGAACAATATCTGAATTGGGAGTGTATCATTTGCTTTTTCCATTTCTCATTGTGACACATTCTATTTTTAGGCTGCCAAGGCCAACCTGGAGAAGGCCCAGTCTGACTTGGCCGGTACATCTGACGAGGCAGTGAGGGCAGAAGTTCAGATCAGCATAGAGGCCAACGAGGCCATCGTCAAGGCTCTGGAGTAGAGAGCTGTGGTACGACATCTCAGCCACCATGATCTGACCATTAGAGAGGTGTCCGGTCAATTAGTTGAATCCAACAGGATGACGATGCAGGACTATTTACTGCTCTTAATATAATTTAAAATGGAAATATTGCCTCTCATTGTATTACGTATTGTATTCTTTAAACTGAGTCACTGTATTTTTTTTTCACTCTCTCTAGGTAATCTTTTCTGTTTCTTTGATGGAAATCAATGGTCCATCTGTTTTTCCAGCTCAGTCACGTCAGTGTCCAGAAGATTCCATGCTTGCTTTGTACAGTGGATAAAATTACAAAATAAATTTATTTGGAATTACATGGTGGTCCATTTGGTTTTCTTTAAACATGCTCCTCTCCTGCTACTTAATGACAATCAGATCTGTATATATTTCCTTTTCTACACAGAACAGACCAGTGTTGCACTAAAAGCTAATCAGCATGACTTTCAGAAGTCTCACACACTGTCTTTAGGAAATGCTTTTCTCATTAAGCAGACCTGCTGCGTTGTGTGGAAAAGTCAGCTATGCTTCTCTGCCAGCTTGTTAGCGATGCAGTGAGTGTTTCTGCCACTTGGTGGCAGCAGATAGCTGTATTTTGTACAAGAGCATTTCAAATAATCTGATTTATCATTCTTGTCGAACCACAGTTACAGGGAAGGAACAGTCTTGCATTTGCCATATAACCACTGCTTGATGTCTTAACCCCTTATACGCAGGATCCTCTTTTTGAATGCTATTGCTGTGTATCAGTTCTTGTATCTGATGAAGGTTTAGTCACTCTTACTGTTACAGTCCCACTTGTGGGTTTGAATTAATTGGAATCCTCAGTAACTCCCGCCTTGATTTAAATGTGTTGGCAGTTCTTGTTTGTTATGAGCGATGACCTCAGGCTTCTGTGACACGGCCAGGAAAAGTCCTTCATTGCCCATCCTGTGGAAAACTGGGCTTTTCACTTGTTTCATAACCACAGGTTTCAGCTCAGACTCTCTCTGGGAGGTGCTGACCTCATTCACGTGCCGATTTGAGGCCTTCTGAGCTGAGTCTGCAACCAGTTTATTTTGAATGTCAAAACTATTGAGGGCATGTTACAAGTGTAGATATACTGGAAGTACCAGTGCTCACACAGAAATGCTCTCATGGCTGTGCTAAAGTAGTATTGTCTGCATTAGGGTCTGACTTCTCACTTCAAAACAGGAAGAGTTCTCCAACTGAAGACAAAGAACATATCAAAGGTGTTGAAATATCTTTTTCCGCTGATTACGCACGTGCTGTGTAGACTTGCAGTCTGTGACTCAGGTCGGTATCCATTAATAAAAAAAAAAACAGGTTCTCAACACCTCTCTCACATCCTGCTCTCTGCTGTCCTTCCCAATCTGGCTGTCTCTTTCATCAAAACCTCCCAGCTGCACACGCACACGCACACACACACACACACTCACTCATAAACAATACACACTCATACTCACTCATCCGTCAGCCTCGGGGTCCTCGAGTAACACTTCAGACAGACGAGATGAAACGGCTGTGTCAAAAAGCACCACTTCTTTAATCCAGATCTATGATAGGGGATGTTGAAACCAGGCTCTATTCCTCTGTTTTTTTTTCCTGCTTCACAGTTTAACGCAACTCTCGTCAAAAAGCAAAGCACAAAATGACCATGTGCTTTCCATGTGCACGTTCTGTTCTCTCAGTTTGTGTGTAGTCATGTAACAAACAGAGTGCAGGACGTTCCAACTTTTCTGGAAAAGAAGTTGAGGAACCAGTCTTTTAGGTCTTTAGCATGTCAAGTTTTTGGATGCACTTCAACTGGAATTGTGTGAAATTCTAATAAGATAAGATGTTCCTTTATTGATCCCCCTTTGGAGAAATTCAAAATTGACAAAGCAGCATAGGGCAATGTAGTGCAAAAGAGAGTACAAAAGTGGAGGTACAACAAGATATGACAAAGAATGATTCATAGTTGAAATCACTGAAATCTTCTTTTCAGTGTTCTGCATTAAGAACTGTAAAGTTGTCTCAGCCACACAGCCTAATGAAGTAAATGTCTCCTAAACAAACTGTCTGACCCGAGTGCTGAAGTGCTATACATTGATAGAGAAGCGGTGAAGTGCTGTGCATTGATAGAGAAGCGGTGAAGTGCTGTGCATTGATAGAGAAGCGGTGAAGTGCTGTGCATTGATAAAGGACCATGAGCATCCAGCGAGAGCCCTTACTGAAGAGCCACTCTGTGGTGTTTCCGGGCTGATGAGGCATGTGATAATAAGTCACTGTCTATCTCCCATGGATGGCTATGTGCTGTAATTAAAAGATTGCACCGTCTGCACTGGGGAGAGAATAACATGATGCACACTGTGACAATCCATGGTGTCATCTCTGAGTGGTACTCTAACACAGCACAGCTCCCAGCTTTGTGAGAGCTCACGGGGCTATATTTACTGAGTCGACCATAGCAGGAATAAAGGAGGCCAGCCCATGTGAATCATCATATTTAGGATGTTCGAAAATGATAGTCAAGCGGTGTATTCTTCGGTGAGATTTAGGCTTTAAAAGAGGCCACGCCCGTGATTGTCTTTGGTGCCACAGACAGCGAAAACAATTTGAGGCTTAAAAGCTAGCTCGATAATATAACGGTGAAGGGTGGAGGTCATCAATCAGCACAAAAAAAATCAACAATTAGGATATTCGATTCACTGTTAAAGTCAACTATCAAGCAAAGAGTGGGAGAATTAGCTTTTTTTCATGTCTCTGAAATGAATGTGGGTTTTAGGATGTTAGTAATAAAAATGGGACTGGGACTACACTGAGACGGTAGCATGCAACTGCGCTGAACTAAGGTGGTGAACCTGGTTTACCTGCTCATCATGTTAATGCTGTCATTGTGAGCATGTTAGCATGCTGATAGCACCTCGCTCAAAGCACCATATTGTGTTTGCCTCGCATAGCTGTAGACCTAGTCTTGTTTCCTGATTAATTACTTCAACAGTTCATACGAATAATTAATTGATTATTCAGATGGTTGAGTACTTTTCTGACCTCTTTATGAGCAACATGTTTATTAGTTAAAAAAAAGATTACTGGATAATTAAAATGGCAGTTCCAAAGTGAAGGCCTACATAACAAAATATAACAAAATAAAGTAAAAAAAGAAGTAGCCTAATGGAAACAGTTTTGAACTTTCCCCTTCGTAAAAGTTGGATTTGGACCCAGGCATCTGTCTCCATCATGGTAAAATCTCACAGTCAAGTAGTGGGCAATAAAATGAATCATAAAGCCAATGGAAAGAAGCAAGGCACATAATTTTCTTTATGTACTGGCAGTGGCTCCAACATGACACACGCTGGCTGTGAGACATTTTCCTGTATGCTGCATGAATGTCGTGCCTTCAGAGTGTCTTGACACTGGCTTAGTCACCGGCTGTATGGATCGGGATATGGAGTCACTTTAACCTCATGAGACTTGAAGCACAGATGAGAGTCTCTTAGTGGATACTAAAACCCAAATCCTCTTCATCTCTTTTATAGCAATGCTCTTATTAGCCTCATGAAATCAAGGGACACACTTCACATGCACCATCATTGACATTTCACTCCTCATGTTAATGATAATTCATGCAGCTGACAGCACTGGGAGACCTGGTAATTTATCAGGCACGATTATGAAAAAATAAAACAGCGTAATAGGTGAATAATGAGGGAGTTACGCATTAAACGGGGGAGTGACAGATGACACATTATGAAAGAGTAATCAGATTTTCTAAACAGGTGCTGTGACTCCACATACCTTTGGCTTGAACAAAAGATATGAGAGCACATTACTCAGTTAGAGGAAGTAATCATAAGTTTCGAATTGATAAATCAGTAGGGGAAACAAACAAAGAATTCTCACAGTGGGCTGAAACATTTGTTTGCTTGTCCTGTTTGTCCTGTTTTTGGTGTGTCTGCATCGTATCTGTCTAGTCTTGTCATGTTAAATAATGTTTTAATTGCAGTTTTTGATCATCTGCGGAGAAAACATTTTCCCGTGGCAGGTGGTAGGCTACAGGATATTGAGAGTGCCTGATGTGTAAAGTCAAATTAGAGACCTGAGAAGGAACTGACAGGAAATTAAAGGTCCGGAAAATTTAAACGCTTAGAGCAATGAGTCATCAATGACTGGGGATGTCAGTTTTCCACATACCAAAGTGCACCAAAATTACACATATCATCCAGTGTGCATAATCATCTGCCTCAGAAGTTTAATATACTATCCATGGCACATGGTACAGATGCATAGACGCAAATTTGGTGCTGCCTTCTTGTGTGAAAACTACATTTCCACCTGCGAGATGTGGTCAAGCACGGCTAAGTGTGCATAAAGGGGGCGAATGGAGACTATGCAGCAGTAAAAGAGAAAGAGAGGCATCCAGAGAGCAGAGCTGATTGAAGTGCTGACCTTTTGGTGGGACTGTGTAAAGAGGGGGCCTGCAGACTCTCAGTCAGCTGTCAGATACTGCATCCAGCCTGGTAGTAGGAGTAGGGCCCTGACACCAGCCTCCCACCACTCTGCCCTGTTTGTGTCATCCATCGCTCCATTCTTACAGCCTTCCATTCCACACAAACACCCACCCACCCGCCAAAACACACACGCACGCACGCACACACACACACGAACATACACAGAGCCAGGCACCGCCGCAAACACTCACCCAGACACAAACATCCACACAAACACAAACATATTTCAGCTTGTGCCAGCTAGGTAACATTTCTACAAATAGCAGTGTGGGCATTTGGGAGAAAATCGCAAAGCCGCAAACACAGCCTGCTGTAGGGGTGAGATAATCAGCTTTGTGGTAACAGCAAATGGCCCCTGAGTGGCAAGGCAGGTAATCATTGCACCGAGTGTTTTTGTGGGAGAGCGGGAAAGAGTGCTTTTCCGTCCTTGTGTGTGTGTCTATGCATATTCACACTGAAATGAGCCACCAATTCAAAGACATGCAGGTAAAAAAAGTACCATTATACTCACCTTTAAGCTTAATTATATCTATATATATGTATACATATTTACATGTTGATGGTGTGGTTACTGCACATCACCTACGCTTTATACCAAATTAAAAAAAACAACTCAAAATAAAATATAAATTTATGCAGCCATGAAACATGAAGCTGTTCTCGTTTGTGACATATCGTCTTGAGAGCCATACCGGCACAACACTCAAAGCTGTTCTTCCACTTCATAGATTTACATAAGCAGAAAAAAAAAAAAACGCTGCAGATTTGCTTAAATCATGCTTGGAGTTATTCCATATCCCCAGTCTGTTTCCAGTTTTGCAGTG